CCCTGAAGCAAAATTACTGACCCTACATCCTCTAAGTAGGAGATATGGTTAGATTCTCCCAAATTCAAACAGTTTCCTTCTGAGTTCCCTAAATAATCTTCTCATACTGTAAGGCAAGTCTTTAATTGAGAAAACGGAAGATTCTTCTCTTTCCCAATGCCCACTGTTTTTTTACTAATTTCAGCCAACTATTTCCTGATAGATTTCTCATATCTGTGAAAAGCAGTCATGACCAGAACATCAGGAACAATCAGAAAACATGATTTAAAATAATTCACACAAAACTCTTATCTTTGTCAATTTTCATTTGAGGATCAATATCTTAGTTTTTAAAAATCGTTAATGGACGAATGTTGTTAAGAGTCACAGAACTATTTTAAAGTGAGGATTAAAGAAGATAAAAGGAGTGAAAGAATTTTGAAAACTACCAAGAATTTTGCATCTATCAACAACTGTGATGATGAAAAGAGAGGCATTAGCCCAGGAATCCAGGGCAGGGCCTCTGTCTCTACCACACAAAGGTACCACAGCCACCGAACTAAACCGAAACCAAACTGCTCACCCATAGTTTGCCTTTCGTTAGTTCTAAACCTTATCATTGAATTCTACATTTTAAAAATTAGAGCTTCATAGACTTGTTACGATTAATGAAATTTCCAGGCAATTTGCATTAGGATTATGTGCTTAATGCAAGACTTAATAGCCTCCACTTGGCTCCGTGCCACTAGAGACAGTATTATGGGAGTTACTTTATATTTGCTAGGCAGTGATTTCAGGATTAATAAAAACATGCAAAGTGAAGGAATAACCTTAAAATGATGAGCATTCCATTGAAGGATACTTTAAAAAAATTAAATTATATTTCACTACTGCGTTGGTTCCCCGTTGATGGTAAACCTATCAGGGTGACTTAAAATATGAGAGAATGGAGAAAGCTAAAACAGGAAAAGAAAAGATTAGATACTATTCAGCATATCTTATGACAAATAGTTTTCATAAAGAAATTCTTAAATTTTTAAGAATTCATTGTCTTTGCATTCTGTAAAAGGTGAAAATTATCAGTATATACTTGGTTTTGCCTTAACTTTTGAAATTCTGCTATTTATTAAATTTACCACTGGGTCAGTTGGCAGCATCAGGATGGATGGTGAAGAGATTGAGATTGTTCACAGCTTTAGTCTGCTTGGCTCTACAGTCAACACTCTTGGCACCAGCAGACAGGAAATTAAAAGACATATTGCGATGGGAAAGTCTGGTGTTAGGGACCTCTCCAAAGTATGGAAGAGCAATGGAGTCTCTCTGGAGACTAAGGTGTGTCTGATAAAATCACTGGTACAATCACTTTTTATGTGTTCGAGAGTTGGACCATGACTAGGGAGAATAGAAGGAGAATTGATGCCTTTGCGCTGTGGTACTGGAGAAGAGTATTGAGGGTACCATGGACTGCTAAGAAAACAAACAGATTTATCCTGGAGAGGGTTAAACTTGGCTGCTCCTTGGAGGCAAGGATTCTGGGGCTTCGTCGGACATACTTTGGTCATGTTGTAAGGAGAGACTAGTCCTTGGAGAGGGACATCATGATTGGGAGGGTGGAGGTACGGCGCAGGAGAGGAAGGCCCTCTATGAGGTGGACTGATGCAGTGACTAGTGTAATCGGGGTGGGGGTGTCAGAGACAGTGTGATTGGCACAAGACAGAGCAGCATTTAGGGCTGTTGTACATAGGGTCACTACGAGTTACAAGTGACTTGATGGCACATAACAACAACAGCAACAGCAACAACTTGGAGGTAAGTTACTAATAAAATAAGAATATATTTTTTTAAAAGCTAACTAGAAATCACAGCTCATATCATTGCCAGATTATTATTATTTTTATATAAAAAGAAAAAATATTTTTGGGAACTCTGGTGGCTTAACAGTAAGGTGTTGGGCTGCCAACTCAAAGGGAGATTGATTAAATCCACCAAATGCACCAGGGGAGAGAGATGGAAGTCAATTTGTTGTTAGGTACCATTGAGTTGAGTACAAAATATAGTGACTCTATGAACAACAGATCTGAACCCTGCCCTATCCTGTGCTATCGTCACACTTCTGGAGATATTAGAGCCCATTATAGCAGTCACCATGTCAATCCAAAAGGTCTATGGTCTGCTGACCCTCAACCTTCAAGCATCACATCCCTTTCCAAGGACACATCCCTCTCCAAGGAATAGCCCCTCCTAGCCACATGCCCAACATATGTGAGGCAAATGTTCATCCTCTTTGCCTCCAAAAAGCATTCTTGCTGCACACTCTCCAAAACATATTTGTTTGTTCTTTTGGCAGTCCATGGGATGTTAAGCGTTCTTCTCCAACACCATAGCTCAAAGGCTTCAATTCTACTGTCATCCTTATTCACTGCCCAACACTCAGATGCATAGCAAGTGATTAGAAAAACCATCAGACACACTTTAGTCCTCAAACTGACATCCTTGCTCTTTAACAGCTTGGAGAGTTCCCTAACTGCAGACTTCCCCAGTGCAGTACATCTCCTGATTTCCTGACTGCTGGTACCAAGGATGTTAATTGTGGATCCAAGTAAAATGAAGTTACTGGCCGTTTGAATATTTTCTCCATCCATCATGATGTTGCCTATCAGTCCAGTGATAAGAATCTTTGTTTTCTTGACATTGAGATGTAATATACTGAATGAATATACAGAAAGCATCAAAAGGAGATGGATGGAAAACACAGTCTCTGTACCAAAAAGAACTGACTGACATTTAAAAATTTCAGAAAGTACCATATAAGCAAAAGTCAAATAGAGCTCCATAATAGCATGAGTGCTATTCACCTCACAGAACTCCTGTGAAGAATAACCAGTAAAAATGAAAATTAAAAACCCCAAACCATTGCCACTCAATCTACTCTAATGTGTCATGATCCCACAAGACAAATTATAACTTTTTAATAGGGTTTTAGCAGAATTTTCAAGGCCCCTTAAATATTTGCAGATACATATTACCATATCTTTCTCCCACTTAGGAAGAACAGTCAGTTATTAATTATAAAGCACTTTGCTGAGGTATCACTGTAATAGAAGTTACAATTAGATGGAATAATTTATTTTTTTACTGTTACTATTACTGTTACTTTAATGTTACCACAGTCAACACTCTTGACACCAGTAGCCAGGAAATTAAAAGGCACATTGCCATGAGAAAGTCTGCTGTTAGGGACCTCTCCAAAGTACTGAAGAGCAGGGGTGTCTCTTTGGAGACTAAGGTGCATCTGATACAGGCCATGGTCTTCCCAACCACATGTTATGCATCAGAGAGTTGGACAATGACCAAGGAGGATAGAAAGAGAATTGATGCCTTTGAGCTGTGGTGCTGGAGAAGAGTATTGAAAATACCATGGACTGCTAGGAAAACAAACAGATTCATACTAGGAAGGGTTAAGCCAGGAGGCTCCCTGGAGGCAAGGACTCTGAGGCTCCGTCTAACATACTTTGGACATGTTGTGAGGAGAGACCGGTCCTTGGAGAGGGACATCATGCTTGGGAGGGTGGAGGGACAGCGCAGGAGGGGAAGGCCCTCTAGGAGGTGGATTGATTCAGTGACTGGGATAATTGGGATGGGAGTGTCAGAGACAGAGCAATTGGCACAGGACAGAGCAGTGTTTAGGGCTGTTGTACGTAGGGTCACTATGAGTCGCAAGTGACTCGACAGCACATAACAACAACAACAATTGTTGTTATCAGTGTGAAAATAGATAAAGACTAGATTCTTGCATGTCTCTCTCTGTGTATGCATATGTATCCTTTGATCAATTGATTGATTACATTGTTTTTAGGTGCTGTCAAATTAAATATGAGCCACAGTTACACTATAAACAACAGATCTGACAATACTGTCTTATCCTGTGTCATCCCCATACTTTCTGACACACTTGAGCCCATTGTAGCAGTCATTGTGTCAATCTCATTGAGGACTTTCTCTATTGCTGTTCCTCTACTTTCCAAAGCATGATGTATTCCTCTAAGAAATAATTTCTCCTAATAACATACTCGAAGAATGTGAGACAAAGCTTTATAATCTTTGCTCTCTTCATAATGCAGGTTATTGATGAGTCTTTCTCTAATCTTGATGCCAATCTCTTCTCCATAGAGTCTAGTTTCTTGAATAATTTGTTCAAGCATTCAGATTGAATAGGTATTAAGAGAGGATATGACTCTGACACGCTCCTTTTTTAATTTTAAAACATGTGATGCTCCCTTGCTCTGTTCACATACAGCCTCTTGGTCTAGGTATAGGTTTCACATGATTGATCCTAGTCAGTGTCACTTAGTCATAGCATTCTTTAGTTCTAAAACAAGAAGTTCTTAAGAATAATGGTTCTGTGCTTCTTGCTGTTAGGTGCTTTTGAGTCAACAGGGAGTGGCCCAATGAACAGCTGATTGGAACCTTGCTCTATCCAGAACCATCCTCACAACCTCTGCCATGCTTGAAACTACTGTTACAGTCACTGCCAATTCATCTCACTGAGGGTTATTTTCTTCCTTTGCTGACCTTAGACCTTTCCCAGAACAATGTCCTTTTCCAAGGACTGTCCCCTCCCAAAAATATGCCCAAAGTATGTGAGCCAAATTTCACCATCCTGACCTCTAAGAAGCACACTGGCTGCACTTCCTAAAAGACAGATTTATTTATTCTTTTGCAAGTCCATGGTATTGAATGCCCGCCCATTCCATACTCATTGCCAAAACTAAAATTCCATCATTATGTACCACGATTTGCTTAAAACCAATGAAACACACAATGATGAGAAAATCATTATATTATAGAGCAATGACAAGCAAGCTTAGGAAATTCCTAGCTCTATATGGATGCCATAAACTGTAATTCTACAAATAAAATATCAAGTGTTAGGCACCATTTCAGTAGCTTAATGAATTACCATCTATTCTCGGGCAAATGACATGTGTTGTAAATTTTAGTAATCATTAGTTGTCACTTACCATAGCAGATCCAACTCGGCTGACTTTGATTGGATTCCCCCGCCCAGAGAGGTCCATGTTTGCTCTGTCCATCACATATAAGCATGTGTCAAGTATGCCTTCTTCAAACTGTCCAGGAGAAAAGAAAAGGATAAACCACTCAGTGTTCACTCTGTAAAGAAAGTATTCTCTGCTGAAAAAAAAAAAAAGACACCAAAATGAACTGAGATTTAATGAGCATATTACCTATTATCTCTTATAATATTTAGTATGGTGTATCAAAATGAAAGGAACAATACATCTTCTTTTTCTCCCCCAAACAACTAACAAGAACATAAAACAACATTTAAATGTAAATAGAACTACTAGACTGCTGAACCACTCAAAGCACATAAACCATTGTGAAGTTCTTCAGAAGACTGTACAAATGAATTAAGACAAAACCTTTCCATAAAATTCTGAGTTCACCTTTAAACAGATAACTTTCAGTTCTTAGGGAGCTCTGGTGGCCTAGTGGTAATAAGCTGTATTTCTAAGCCAAAGATAAGGCAGTTCAAATCCACTAGCTACTCTGTGGGAGAAGAATGGGCAGTCTCCTGAAAACCCCATGAAAGGGCGACTGTGAGTTGGTTCTGACTTAACAGTACATAACAACAAGTATTTCAGTGTAACATACTTCAGTTGTAGTATTGTTTAATCACAGTCTTTTTATAATGAATGTTAGTTTAATGTTCTACGACTTCTGAGACAATAGAGACTCCATGGTCAAAGAGAGAATAAAGGCCTAAAGACTTCAGAGGACAGCACCGAGGCATTTCTGGTGTTCCGTTCAATTGACTTAGACAAGAATACTGGTCACAAGAAACACCAGAATTTTCTAAGAAAGAATTGTTATTCTTGTATGCCATCGAGTTGGAACCAACTCCTAGTTGACCCTTCAGCAGGTTTTCAAGAGACTGTAAATTACACAAGAGTAGATTGCCCATATTTCTCCTTCAGGGCAGTTGGTGGATTTGAACAGCATGCCTTTAGGTTGGCAACACAACTCCTTACTACCAGGCAATCAGAGCTTCCTAAGCAAACATTGAACATGGTAAATTAACAAAATGATGAGTTTGAAAGATTTCCCCTATACTATAACTCAGTGTAATAGAACATTTCCCTGAATGACTGAAATCTTACGTATCACTTACCCAAGCATTTGTGTCATAGAAATAATAATTTTAATGGTTAGTTACCACATAATAACCTATTGAATCCAGTTAGAATATCTACTCTGCGGGCACGCACAACTGAAATGACAGATGCAGTAATGGGTAATTGTTCTAGTCCTCCAGGTGTATAAATAACTCATTATCTTGGTTCTTCTTTAAGCAACATGCTCAGCTATGTCTATGGGACATAATCAAACTAACTGGAGAGTTAATGAAATAGTCACATAGCTAGTTAGTTCCCTACAGCACGGGACTTGACTTGTTTTTCTGGCTGGAGGACCAAAATAAACTGATTTGTAAGTGATATTAGACAAGTTAGTGCTTAAGTTTGGTAGCTCTTATTTGCTTTTGACTCTTATTCATTATATACCCTTAAATAACAGAACACAAAGCTGCCCACTCTTGTGCCATCTTTGTGGTCCTAGTGATTTTGAAGTCCGTTGCTGGACTTTGGTGTCAATCCATCTCATTGAGGGTCTCCCTCACTTACACTGGCCCTCCACTTCAACAAACTTCTCCAGAGATCCGTCAGAAATGACATGTACAAAGTAAGTGAGTTGAAGCCTCAGACAAGGTACTGTGACCTATCGGATTATTACTGGCCAAGTTTTCTGAGTAGATCATCAGGTCTTTCTTTCTAGTCTCTCCACCTGAATGTTCTGACAAAACCTAACCATTTTATATCACCTTAGTGGTGTTTTAAATATTCATGTCATAACCTCCAACATCACAGTGACATACAATTGATCTGTCACAGAATGCAAAACTAACGAGCATGTGATAAGTTTTAAGAGTACCCACAATTACAAGCTGGAGCTCTGTTGGCTTAGTAGTAAGATTTTTGCCAAAGCAAAGGTAATGCAATTCACACCCATCAGCTGTTCCACAGGAGAGAGACGAACAATCTCCTCCCATGTGATTTATCGCTCTGAAAACCCACTGGAAGGTCAGCTGTGGGTCGGTTCGGACTTGATGGTACTCAGCAACTTTTACAATCAAAGATATGCTGGCTCAGAAACAGCCTGGACCTGCCCGGGGCACTTTCCCAGTTCTGCTATCTACTCATCCTTTGTTTGACTGTCCTTTTCATTGTCCATCTATAGTTTGTCACATTAGATCAATTAAGTGGAATCACACCTACAGGCTAAGGATTGAGGATCCAAGTCAAATGCATCAGAGTGTTTACTTGCACTTAATAATCTGTAGTGAACAGTTTCATGAAAAATTTGGACACCCATTAAGTACTTGTAAGCCCATGTTTGCTTATTTGGTGCTCCACGTCAGGGAGGTAAATTGGAAAATAGGCTTTGATTCTGTAAGAAAGTGCTGTCAAGTTGGGAGCAAGACAAAGGCCAGCCATAGCTTAAACAATCTTTGATTCAGTGGGGGAGGGAGGGAGGGAGTGCGGAATTGCTCACTACAGATTAAGTAAGCAAGCAGGCAAGCAGAAGTAAGTTCATGCTTACTTTGCTTATCGGATAAAGTGACACTGACAGCAGCTAAAAGGCAGTAGACAAAGGCTGTGTGGCTACCCAGGAAGTGAAGAACGTTTAACTAGGCAGCGACTTAAGAACAGAGGAGAGAGAACATAGGTGCTTGTCAAGGCTTCAGAAATGCAAAAGCGCAAGGCAGAGTCAGAGTGAGGAACAGCCTCAAAACCAGGCTGATATAAGGAGAGCCATCAACAAACAGGCAGGCCAGAAATAGGGAGCAAGGATCTAGATTGCTCCCTGAGGGAAGACAAAATAGGATGGAGAGAAAAGAATGCACCATGAAAGCACTCTGAATTCTCAGAACCTGGCTTCTATCATCAAGCCAAAATTCAGAGGAAAGACAACTCGTTCCCTCTCTTGTTACTAATGAAAAATAGTTTTTGATCATGTGGCAGGTATCAATTAATTTATAGACATCAGATATCATTCTTCCAATGTTGAAGATACAATACTGCACTTGCATAATTCCACACCTTAAAGAATATACCATTTGCTGCTTTATATAACAGCTCGAGACTGCAGCTGACAGGGGTCTCTAAGTCAAAGCCTGATAAGCTCTCCTTTGATGAACTTGTACCACTGCTTTTCATTTAGAGCATCGTACATGCTCTGGTGGTTAAAGTGCTCAGCTGCTAACCAAAGAGTCAGTGGTTGGAATTCACTGGCTGCTATGTGGGAATAAGATGTGACAGTCTGCTTCTGTAAAGAATTACTCTTGAAAACTCTGTGGGGCAATTCTACTCTGTCCTATAAATTAGAATGGGCATGAGGGCAGCAGAAGAATAGAAGACTTAGAGATAGATAGATGATGATAGGTGATAGATAGATAGATAGATGATAGAAAATAGAGATAGATACAGATAGATACAGATATAGATGATATAGATATAGAGATAGGTAGAGATAGAGATAGAGATATAGAGATAGATATATAGAGATAGATGATAGAGACATAGAGATAGAGATAGATATGCTGATTGCCACCGAGTCAAGCACAACTCACAGTGACTCTAAGAACAAAAGACCTGAAGCCTTTCTATAACTATTGTTTTTTTTCCAAGTTCATAGAGTTTCCATAGGCATGTGGTTTAGGAGGTGGATGCCCCTCCTGCTTCCAAATCTGTTTTAAACTAGGAGCTCCACAAAACACTGTCCACCTATAGAGATATATAGATAGATTGATAGAGAGAAATAGATATACATAGAAAGAGATATATTGATATAGATATAATATACATATGTATAATTGAAATGAGTTTGATTTGGAGCTTACTCTAGAGCTCACACAAAAATGATTTTTCTGAGTTGTGCACACACGTCACAGTATTTTTGCAACATTATTAGAAGTCTATTCTTTATAAGGAATGGGAAACCAGCCCATTCTAGATACAATAGCAGTGTTTGCACTAATGAGATTGCACTGTACTGAGATGCCAAAGCATTTTTCAATAGAGTGTCATGCTATACTCGTTGATCTTCATAACACTGTAATAACTGAAGATATGCAGTTTCAGCTGATAATTATTCAGCTGTCTACAAGTCTGCACTCTCGTGTTGTCTGCCTTGGAGTCTAAGATCCTGGAAAGCAGGAAATTGTGCTTGTCTAATATCGATGTATAACACCTGCAGTGATTCATGGGACAGAGATATTAAATAAAAATGCCCTTGACAATGACAAATTTGAAATGACTCACCTGACCATAGCTCCAGCTTCTAACCCTGATGTCCTGGAAGTTTCCATGAAAAATAACCCCGATGTCATTCAGGACATACTCTTCTCGTTCTCGCTCATCATCCAGATACACAGCGTCCTCTGCAGTGGGAATTGAGTGGAAAAAGCCTTGACCAAACCAAATCACTGACAAATACTTCCAAGTTAACTCTTTTCCCTCCACTTTAAACTGCAATTTAATGAACTAAAAGACAAAAAGGACTTTTGTCCCAGTAAATGGAGCTCATTTCTCAAAACGTAACTTATAATATGGTGAATATCAGTGGCACAAAAAAACCTACCAAAGTGGATTGGGGTGTGGGGGGAGGGAGGAAATTGTACAACAATGAAAGAATCTTTTAAAGAGAAAAGCAAACTGAGGGGGTAGGGCGGAAAATGTGCAACAATGAATGAATGAAAATTCAAGTTTTACATAAACTTTCATTAAATACAAATTAAAAAAAGAGATAAAAGGGAAAAAACTATCTCTGACAACTAGACTTTCTGCATTTAAAGTAGGATAAATAAATTGACACATCTTCTTAAGCATTTTGGAATTTTGGTGCATTGGTGGTTTCCCAATCACAATTCTACGATACTGATACAAATCTGTAACACAGAGTTAAAGGAATAATGTGTAAATTACTAAAATTAGTAAAAGTCCTAGTGTTGAGTGCTTGATGTATTAAATTGCTAACTGAAAGTTTGGCAGTTCAAATCTACCAGCTATTCCACAGGAGAGAGATAGGCAGTCTTCGCTTAAAAAAGATTTACAGCCCAGGAAACCTGATGGAATGTTGTTAGGAGTCAGAATTGACTCCATGGAAGTGGGTTGAAAATATGAATAAGGTTGCTCTGGAGTTAAAGTGCAAATCATGTCAGGCTACTAACTGAAAAGTCAGCATTTCAAATCCACCAGCCCCTTTGGGGCAGAAAGATGTAAAAATGTACAGTCTTGGTAACCTGTTCAAGGTTCACTACTGTGAGTGAGAATTCTGTGACTCAATGGTGATGGATTTTTGTATCTATAACATTAATAAAAACCTTGTTGAATTGAAAATTGCTTTGAAAATAAATCTAGGGTACTATGGAAGACACCTGTTGCCATCAAGTCAACCCTGACTCATGTTTCCCTTGTATGTGTAGAGTTGAATTGTTCCACAAGGTGGTCAGGGTCTGTGACCTGTTGGAATGAGGTCACCAGGCCTTTCTCATAAAATGCCTCTGTGTGTGTGTGTTGTGTTGTGTGCCATCAAATTGGAACCAACTTATAACTGACCCTTAGTGGATTTTCAGAGGCAGTGAATTGCACAGCAGAAGATTGCCCATCCTTCTCCTGTGGAGCAAATGACAGAGTGGAACTTCATGCCTTTTGGATTACAGTGCAGCTTCTTACCACTAGGCCTCAAACTGCCAACTTCCCAGTTACTAGTCCAGTGCAAACCACTTGTGGCACCCACAGACATACAGTAGATGATAGTCTGTGGGACATGACTGGCAGAAGGAGAATGGTGGATGCCTTTTTGAATGGATGTGTTAGTCAGTGCATGTGCTGGTTTTTGAATGCATATGCTATTTGGTGCATGTGCTGTCCTTGTGAATAGATGTGTTGATAAAGTGTGTGTGTGTGTTATTTTTTTTTAAATGGATATGTTGGTAGGAACATGTGCTTTTTGAGTGGACATGTTGGTAGGTATGTTGTCCAGTCAGAATCTGATTGGCTGCCTCTAGTGAAAGGACTTTCTTCTCTTTGTCTATAATCTCACCAAGGCCATATTTCCTGTCTATCACCCTGGTAAGCAACCTGGTACTTTTTCCAAGTCCAAATGTGAAAGAATCAAAAGAATCTACACACAAAGGACTATACAAATATGTGTTACACTCAGAGAGCTTGCATATTTAAAACAGAGTCAATGGGAGGTTAGTTCAGGACACAGTTCATAACAATTCTCTGGTTCAGGCCATGCCATCCCTATTAATTTCTTTGCTTTCTCTAGAGCAATAGTTGTCAACCTTGGCCGTGCATTAAAACGACCTTGAGTCCGATCCAGCTCTCAGTTCCTCGCTCCCCGCTCCTCCTGCACTACACCTTTTAAATTAAGCTCTCAGTGCTGCTTTTGTGCAGCCAAAAATGAGAACAAATGGTCTCCCTCCTTGCCACTTTGTTTAGTTCAAAGATAACAGCATCAGCATTGCATGAGAGCTTGTTAGAAAAATGCAGACTCTCAGGCCTCATTTCTGACCTGCTGAATCAGAGGCTGCATGCTAACAGATTCCTAGGTGGCTGCTGTGCGCACTCAGAGGTGAGAGGCATTGCTCAGTCCAACCAATCAACACCCTTATTCTGTGCAGCTGATTCCTTGATAGTGTCTGGTCTCTTACAGGGACTGCCACTCCTGAGAACATGCCCAAATTATGACAGCTAACCATCCTTGTTTCTAAGGAGCACTAGAGCAGATTTATTTGTTCTTTTGTCAGTCCATAGTATTTAAGTATTCTTTATCAAAATCCTAATTTAGAGCAATCAATCCTTTGCTAATTCCTTCTTCCTGATCTACACAAGGGATCTGTCATCTGCAGCTATAGATTCATTTGCATTTGTAGAATTTTATATAAATGTAATATTTTTAAAAGTACGTACTTTTTTATAAAGTGGCTTGACTAATTATGGGGTTCATGATAATTATGCTGAAATTCATACATGCTATTGTATCCTAAAGTCAGTTCTGCCCTTTGAGACAAAAAACCAGAATTACTTAAGTGCCCCAACTTTCTCAGCCATTGTAAGGCCAAATATTGACACCTCTAAGTTGCTGGCCTTGTCTTGTGGAGTTACGAAGAGAGACAATACAGTTTTTAAAAGTTTGTCCATATGGAAGGTTAGCCTCCAAACTCAAATGCCAGCTTTATTTTCAGGTGAAATTAAAAAGATGTAAGACATAAAGGAGTGACAACCAAGTTTGAGGTAATGGGGTTTTATTTCTGACAAAAATGGTCATTGTTGCTGTTGTTGTTGTTAGGTGCTGACAATTTGAGTACAACTCATAGTAACACAATAGATCTGAATGAACCCTGTCCTATTCTGTGTCATCCTCACTATCTCTGACACATTGCTGCACCTGGTTGAAGGTCTTCATCTCTTTTGCTGATCCTCTGAGACCTTCCCAAGCATGACGTCCTTCTCCAAGAATCAATTCTTCTACCAACATGCCCAAAGTATATGAGATGAAATTTTATATTCTCTGCGCTCTGGCTTCACCTTATCCAAAAAGTATGTTTGTTCTTTCAACAGTCCATGAGACATTCAAAACTCTTCTCCAACAGCACAGTGTATTGATTTAAATGATTCTAGGTAGTGTAGTGGATCCAAACAAGATGAAGTTCTTGACAGTTTCAATCTTTTCTGCATCTATCATGATGTTGCCCATTGGTCCAGTTTATTAATTTTTGTTTTCTTGATGTTGAGAGACAATCCTTATTAAAGGCTGCAGTGTTTTATCTTCTGCAGTAAGTTCTTCAAGCCCTCCTCATTTTCAGCAAGCAAGGTTGTGTCATCTGCATAGCACAGATTGATGAGTCTTCCTGCAATCCTGATACCACGTTCTTCTTTAGAGCCCAGCTTCTTGAATAATTTGCTCAGCATAAAGATTAATTAGATATGGTAAAAGGATACAATCCTTTCTCCTGTTAAACTTGTGGGTGCTGTGCTACTGAAATCTATGCCACTGGTGTGTCGAAAACATGAAAGAATAATTTTAAAATGCTACTACAAAAGTATACATAAAAGGAAAAGGACAATGTATATATACACAACTATCATGATAAAATTGTGTACCACCCAAGTAGATCTATTTAATGATAAAATGTGGGAAAGATGTAATGATCCCTTCATCACATGTTAAACCAAAAGGATGTAAAAGGATGATAGGTGGAATGTAACATCTCTTGATCTCATCACAGCGCTGATCTAAGTGGCCTTTTATCTTGAAGAGATAAAAAAAGGAAAAAAGGGAGCTGAGGGGTGACCTATGTACCACCAAAAATAAGTGCCAAGTGGATAAAGTATCTTTTGGACTCATTTCTGAGCTAGGAAGCTCCTCAACACAGGGAAACCCAGGGCACATGGAGATTTTCAAGAAATGCAGCATCTAGAGATACTGGCAGAAACAAGGACTTTCTTTCAGAACTGAAGCAGAGAGGCCTTTTCATACTATTTGCAAAACTGCAATTGGACTTCAAACTTCCTAAACTGCAAAATACTAACAGTCCATTTATTTAAGCCATTCAATTGTGGTATCCTTGCTATAGAGGCTCTAGAATAAGAGGGAGCTCTGGTAGACAAGAGGTAAGGAGCTGCACTGTCAACCTAAAAGCAGACAGTTTGAATCCACAAGTTTCCCCAAGGGAGAAAGATGGGCAATCTCTTCCTGTGCAATTTACAACCTCAGAAAACCCAGAGAGGATCAGCTGTGAATTAGTTCTGAATTGGCTGCAGTAAACAATAACAACAGATAGCTAAGACAGCTCTTCATTGACTGTTTTTAAAACACCTGAAAATGAAAGGTATTTTCATTTTTATTTTTCATAGTAATAGTTTATTGGTTACGACTTTATTTTAGTGATTACTGTTTTAGCCACATGATCTTGAAATGGCTATTTGGGGGATAGAAATATCTTCCCAATATTATTGAGTTCAGGAAGTATCATGAAATATTTTTTAAAAATATATTATTTTACTTATATATATGTATATAAATATATATATGTGTGTGTGTGTGTGTGTGTATGGATATATGGATATAAATGCTCTGTAAGATATTAAAACTCAAACTCATTGCCATCAAGTAGGAATCAATTCATAGCTGACCCTCCAGAATATTTTCAGGTGCAGTAAATTGCACAGAACACTGCTCATCTTTCTCCCACAAACTAGTGGTGAATTTGAACTACTTTTGAGTTGGCAGTACAACTCTCAATGTATTATGCCACCAGAACTCCCTCTAGAAGATACTAGAAAATACTACATAGCTATAGTAATACAAATAACAGGAATAAAAATAAACTATTATATCAAAATAGAGATCACAGAGACAGATATTATT